AACGAGATGAAGCCGCATTTTTTTGTGCTTTTTTGCTTAACTTTTTGAGTGCAGTTTGGCTTTAACTGAACTCCATCAATCTTCCCGGCTTTCCAAAATTCATTTATAGTTCAAGGACAGTTTGTATTAAAAAACATTGCTGCCATCTTTGAAAAAGTTTCCATGAAAATCCCTTTGGCGCATTCTTTGGCGCTGCTGTAATACTTCACCAACTTATTATTACTTTTCAACTCCCTTCACCCACAACCATTTTGATGGGGAACGGAACTTACCTACCCGAGATATTCTCGCACCTCATGGGTGTGTGTCTGCGGAGTATAATTAGGAATAGCGACTCGCTGATTCCAAATGCTCCTTAGGATACAGCGCTAAGCTAAGCCCCGCCCACACATTGCACCTTTTTGGCATAGAACCGAGACATGTTAGAAAATCCGGCGATACCTGAGGACATCAAGGCTGGCTCAGCGCCGGAATGTGCTAAAAGAGGGCTGCGAGGCTCAAAATGGAGCTAATGGAAAGTAAAAAAGATGGTTGTAATCAGGAGGATAAGGCAAATCTGAATTTGAAAGTGCCGGATTAGAAATTCGCAATTTTATGCAAAAAAAACCATAAACTTGAAAATATGAAATCATTCGACTCTTAAAAAATTGTTATAGATTACAAGGATCAGGTAACTCCAAAATGCTGAACTTCACTTCCTGAGTACGATTTAAATGTAGCAAAATATTTTTGATGCCACATATCTTCTTTTTTTTGTCGAGATTTCTTAAGCTAAAATTCGAATTCATCAAATTGAAATTCCGGCTCTGTAAGAAAAGACAGCGCAAAACCAATGGCATATTTGAAAAGAGAGCCTCAAAAAATCCCTAAATCTGTATTTCATCAAGTTTGAGCAGATATTGCTGCTAAACATCAGTTTTGTGATTCTACTGAATTCCCGATTTCATGACTGATGGATGCATCGCGAAAGCGTTGATGGATGGGGCGGAGCTTAGAATACACACAAGCTAGGCTCCGTACTTTATGCTAATTGCGTGTCTGACTGCTCAAAATACCTAAGGTACGCTGCGGCAAGCCTTTTGGGTAGGTAAGTTCCCGCACCCATTTTGATAAGTTTCTGTGCATATCCGGGCTTGACATCGGATTTTTCTTGTTGGTAAAGGTTCAGTCACCAGAGCACTTGGCTCTATGTATCGAAATAAAAATCTGTAATTTTCCCCATTTTGTAGTACAATACCGCTAACATTTTTTTGAAAAAGAGACGCGAATGTATGGACATGTATGGACATGCATAAACATGTCGCTACATGTCCGTACATGTAGCGACATGTCCATACATGTCGCTACATGTCGCTACATGTGTGGACATCACAGTCGCGTGGCCATATCTCGCTTCAGAGTGGAAGAATTCTGAATCCAAAGCCACCATTCGATTCAGCTCGGGCGGAGAATCTTCCGATATAATGGAAGTGGGGGTACGATGTCTTCGATATTCCGTTTCCCCTTTTTTCAAATTCTTCTGCGGAGGTCCCTTGGCGAATATGTGAAACAGCGCCTATCCAACATAGAAGACTTTGCTAAGTACTATTCGATAATACTGTTCTTGTAGATTATTGTGCGCTAAAAAATAGGCTCAGACTTCTTTCCAAAGAGATAGAAGCGTTGGTGAGTTTTGAAAAAATCACGCGTTTTTAAATTCTACTCGCCATAACTTCCTTCGGAATAAGTATATTTTGAATCCGAAAACAGCGCCTTGCTCAGCTCATCAAGGCGAATCCTTTTGTATACAGCATGTCCTTGATATTTCGATTTCAGTATTCTTGAATCTTTCTGCGGACGTTTTTTCTCGAAGATGTAAAGCAGTGAGCGTTGTCCCGAGTAGATTCCAGCAGGAAACTTTTGATAGTACTTTTTCTGTAGATTATGATGCGCTAAACAGTAGCCGCGATTTTCTTTTCAAGGGAAATAGATGGCCTGGTGAATTGTGGGAAAATCTTGTCGTCCCAAATTTTACTCGCCGTAGCCATAGAATATGATGCTCTCTTGCTAAGCAGATGTGATTATCGTAATCAGCAGGTCGGATAACCTCTATGAGCAAGTTTTCCGATATATTCGGGTTATTTCATTTTTTCTAGTTTTACGCTCCCGGAAGCTCGCCGATGGATTTTGGTCAAAATGTTGATGCTCTTGAATTGTAAGGAAACTTCGCTTATAGAGGTTTTCGAACACGTTTACGAAAATCCTAGTCTGAGGATTATAGGGCCTTTTTTGGAGAGATACGGTGAGGTGACTGTAACTGCATCACGAAAGTGCGTAGCTTTGGTTGCCTATGGATGTTATCTGATGTTACGGTTATGTGTTCTCAGACTGCAAGCTCCTTCAGGGCTAAGTTGATGAGAGCTGGCATACAGCTTGCATCCCTAAGCTTTTTGGAATGATCTTAATTTTGTCGTTTTTCAGTTACCAGTTCTCTTCTTGGCTTGATGGCTATTGGTATACTAGCATGACGGTTTTCGGTCCGCACGGTCATTTTTCGGAGCCGAGTCCTGGTGTTCTTCAGTTGCAGCTTGATTCTGTAGCCTGGTTTCATTTATTTGATGTTACTAACCATAAGCATCATTAATTAACAACTGAACCAGCCCGGCTCATTCGTCAGAAGCTTTATCACACCTTATTGTCCTAACCAAGCCTAGTTTCCCATCTAGGGCACTCCAGATTGTGTACGCCTAATGAAGTGCCTTCTGGAGTAGTTGGCAGATGTTTACTCTGCCACTCTCAATCTGAATCTTGCTTCCTCTAAAATTAATCTTTAATGGGGTCGGTCAGCTAGCCTTACCGGCGGGCTCGTTGACACCCAAAAACGGGGCATCTTTGATTTTAGAGTATGCAAGATTCATGTGATTGTTTTTGATCAAGTTACTTTCGTTCAACTTTACAAGCTGGGTCTAGAGCTTCGAGTTCTGTTTCATTCCGTATTCTCTTTTATCTTCTCTTGCGGCTGAGAACTGGCTGGTCTCACTGTTTGCTTGGATCTTCTTTTATTTCTTTTCTCTGGTGCACCTCGAGTGTATTTATAAAATAAAATAAAAAATAAAATGAACTTTGCCCGCACTTCTCGCGTATCTGTCAGAAACTTGACTGCTTGCTTTTAGTTAAAGTTACTAGGAACTGTGCTATCGAATGGTGCATGACTCAGGCTCCAGTCCGTAAAATTTGCCGAGTTACGTGCCTACCGAACACGTCCCCATGAATTTTGCCCGAAATGTAAAGATCGCATATTTCGTCGGAATTCCACCGGTGAGTGTTTTTATGACGCTCGTTGGATATTATGTTCGCTTCGTCCAACGACTCCCACTGTATTGAATATGGTGCTTGCGCGTGCTTCAGCTGCTCAATTGAATATCAAAGCTATTTCTGGCTAGAGCTCAAAGCACCAAATCTAACACAGTAAGATCCATTAAGAATGTGAAAAGAATTGATCAGCGTGTTGTACAAGAGCTCACGGAGGATTTTCGACGAAATATGTGATCTTTACATTTTGGGCAAAATTCATGAGGACGTGTTCGGTACGCACGTAACTCGGCAAATTTTACAGACTGGAGCCTGAGTCATGCACCATTCGATAGCACAATTCCTATTTACTTACACTTAGAAAAGCAAGCAGGCAAGTTTTCTGACAAATAAGCGAGAAGTGCGGGCAAAGTTACGCACTTTCGTGATGCAGTTACAGTCACCTCACCGTTGATGCAGTTACAGTCACCTCACCGTATCTCTCCAAAAAACCCTGTAATCCTCAGACTAGGATTTTCGTAAACGTGTTCGAAAACCTCTATAAGCGAAGTTTCCTTACAATTCAAGAGCATCAACATTTTGACCAAAATCCATCGGCGAGCTTCCGGGAGCGTAAAACGAGAATAAATGAAATAACCCGAATATATCGGAAAACTTGCTCATAGAGGTTATCCGACCTGCTGATTTCGAAACTCACATCTGCTTAGCAAGATAGCTTCGTATCCTGGGGCTATGACAAGCAGAATTTGGGACGACAAGATTTTCCACAATTCAACAGCCGTTCTATTTCCTTTGAAAAGAAATCTGCGGCTACGATTTAGCACATCAAAATCTACAGAAGATGTAATATCGAAAGATCCTTGCTGGAATATACTCGGGACAATGCTCGCTGCTTTACACCTTCGCGAAAAACGTCCTCAGAAAGATTCAAGAATACTGAAATCGAAATATCAAGGACATGCTATATACAAAAGGATTCGCCTTGATGAGCACTATTTTCGGATTCAAAATATACTTATTCCAAAGGAAGTTATGGCGAGTAGAATTTAAAAACGCGTGATTTTTTCAAAATTCACCAACGCTTCTATTTCCTTTGAAAAGAAGTCTGAGCCTACTTTTTAGCGCATAATAATCTACAAGAACAGTATTATCGAATAGTACTTAGCAAAGTCTTCTATGTTGGATAGGCGCTGTTTCACATATTCGCCAAGGGACCTCCGCAGAAGAATTTGTAAAAAGGGGAAACGGAATATCGAAGACATCGTACCCCCACTTCCATTATATCGGAAGATTCTCCGCCCGAGCTGAATCGAATGGTGGCTTTGGATTCAGAATTCTTCCACTCTGAAGCGAGATATGGCCAGCGACTGTGATGTCCACACATGTAGCGACATGTAGCAACATGTCCATACATGTCCATAAATTCGCGTCTCTTTTTCAAAAAATGTGAGCGGTATTAAACATCTACTGTGGTCCTTACATGCAATGGCAGGATTGGTAAATAGAACACTGGCTGCATTCGCAGCTTATATTATAATCAAGTAATGCCACTAAGCGCGTCTCGGGAAGGGAAATATAGAGGCAAAACTCGGCTAAAAAGTAAGGATAATAGTTCGAAATTTTTTCAAAGAAAGGAACTCATTAATGTATTCTATATGTGATTCAATGAGATAAATCGATACATGAACTAATAGATAGTTTAAGAATGATCATGACGATGATACTTTAGACATCATACTTCCCGTTGGGTTCTTCAATGACGTTGTAGCGGACGCGGAACCAGATGAACCCAGTAGTCCACCAAAGTTATTTCCCTAAAAGTTGGAATCTTGTATCAAAAAAGCGACACTAAGTAGTAAAGATATTCAAACCCCTTTTGCGCTAGGAGCCAAATAAGCATTTGACGTGGTTCTCTTCACTCCATTCAACCAATATGTGTTGCACATTCCTTTGCCCTGAAAAATTTGATACTACAGCACTTGCGGAGACAAGCTTAGAAGGTGAAGGTCAAATTGCTGTTTATTAGATGGATTTCAAAATGTAAAGAAGCATGATTTTCGGGATTTTTTTATGGATTTTGGATCTATAATCTGTTTAAAAACAGTATCCAGGTTATATATACCTTGATTGGAATTTCGCCTCGGAGCTCCGTCTCATATTCTGGGTATTCCTTCATCAAAAGCGTGTTGGCTGCTTCACTGATTTGCGTTCTACCAGGTGCTCCGTTACTTCCCATTCTTGAGGACATGTTCACCTGAATAAAATCAATCAATTTTGTGATATCTCGCGAGTTACCTGAGAGTCATCGTTTCAATAAAAATTTAAATTTTGTATTTTTTTGCTGAGTGAATTTTTAAATTTTTGCAGCCACAGATTACTTTGTTTATCATAGAGGTGATAAAAAATAAAAAATTGTTTTTCTGAGCTTGCTAAAGATTGCTGGAAACTTACCGCATCTCCAAACAAGCAGTATCGTGGAGCATTCATTCCGACTACAGCAGCGGCAACAGGCCCTAAAACACCTTCATATGAAAACTTCTGTAGAGAAATCCTGGTTTTCCCGTGGTACTTTTTTGCTAAACACTGTCAAATAAGTTTTACTTACTATTTTTACCATATTTCATCTCTCTCAAAGCCATGAATACGAGGAGAGTTTAGCTTGAAATTCGAAATTTTTGAATGTTTTACCTGTGTGGAATCCTAGGCGACATACTACTCTTTTTCCTGGCTGGTGAGGAATTTCAAATTCGGTGAGGAACTGAAAGCGTCAAAATTACCATTCCCAATTTTGGAGCGGTAAAGCAAACCTTGTGAATATCAAGAGCGATGCTGGCGATTTCGTTGATGTGACGGTGCCCATTTTCTTCTGGTACTCCAGACACAACCATGTACGCGTCACCGATCGTTTCCACCTAAAACACATAGATTTTCATCAGCGACAATTAGCCCTCAATATTGGTAGAAGCAATGTCTTGGTAAATGTGGCTGCCTGAGTCATTAGGGGGAGATTAATTGATTCAACTAAGTCGGTAGCAAAGCGGCAGCTCTTATAATTTATTCTTGGTTGAGAAAATTCAAGCAGAATTCCATCCAGACCGTTACCTTTTCGAGCAGACCCAGCAAAAGGAGCGCGGTGGAAAGTACGGTGTAAGCTCTAAGCAGGACTATTGAGATTAGAAGCGAATTTTTCGCCCAGGAATGAGTCACATAAGCTGCCGCTTGGGCAAACGTTTAGTTGAGGACCCTAATCAATTTCTACAGGGAAATCAAGAATCTGAAACTTTTGTAAGTTATCCTTAGCATAATTACTACCTAGGATCAGTCAAAAAGCGTTTTGACACCGTACATCCAAACCCAGATCGGTGAGATTTGGAGAAACCAACGGGGCCCCACAAAAGGCCCTACAGTCGCAAAAGGTGCATTCCACGGCGATATAATCGCATCGAAGATGGGTGCATAGATGCTTGGTTCCACGCCCATCAGAGTCGGTGACCTAAAGGCGAGTACCCGAAATTAGACTCAATGGTCGTAAAGATGTCGAAGTTTTGCTTCTCATTTCGTATTTCATGCCCATCGCTCCTGGACCACCCACGTTGATGGGCGTGGCAACCCCAACAGCATCCAACTTCTGGAGTGATTTTCTCGCTTCGTAATATAAATTTTGCAGCCGGACTTGCGCAAAACTTAGTTAAACCCCGTTATTATGAAAATAATCATTGCGCATCCTCTAGCCTTGTTATTTTACCTCAATCATGCCCTGTAGGTTTTACTACCACAAACCTTGTAAGCATCGCGACGTGCAATAAATTGATCAAAACCATCGAAAACTCCGTTGAGTACATTGACAACTTGTAGCGGAGTTGCATTTTTACACATATCGCTGAATTCTACGATATCACTGGAAATACAAATTTGGTAAGAGAAATCTTTGAAAAAAAAACAGACAACAAACCTGAAGAGCACAGTGGCTGAGGTAAATGACTTCGGAGGTACTGGCCGTCCAAACTTGAGCTCTTTAGCCACATAACTAAATTCTCGTGCTTTTTTGGAGTAAATTTTTTCGCCCTTGTAAACATACGCTGGGAGAAGTTGACTAAGAAGCTTGTCCGCCCTGATGTTCGCTTCTTCCAGCATACCCGTTCTTTCTTGTACAAGCTTTTCCAGGTTATTTGCATACTGTAATAAAGTGTGAGGTTCTCTGAAAGTGTGTAATCACACTTAACTAACCTGCTCCATCATACGCATCATCTGGTCGACTAGACTTCCTTTTCTGTAACATCGTAACAAATTTTTATGGTCACATTCAAATATAAGTGAGGGGAGGGAAAAGAATAAAAACAGATTTGGTTGTGCCTCTTTTCAATAAAGATGTGAATTGTAAGTTCGTTCATTGCGCTGTAGTTAAACTTTCCACTAGCTTATCTTTTCATTGAGGGACCCCTTTCTCAACAATACATCGTGCACTTTCCAAAGTAAATCACAATCATGATTTTCACTTGCAGCATTTGAACAAAAATTCCCAGTTTTATTCTAAACTAGCTTATCAAGATATACATTTTCAAAAAAGTGGAAAAGCCTTCCAAAAATCAATGGACTGACGTCATACCCCTTTACTGGGATTTTCTGCTACACTCCCCCCCCCCCCCCAAATTTTTCGGGGCCGCCCTGATACTTTGATATTTTAGTGAAGCAGTGACTTACACTTTCAGATAAGTTTCAACGTTGAGCTTTATTCTTCTTAGAGTAGGCCTCATTTCCGGTGTTTTGTTCCAGCAGTCGCTTATGAGATTGCTCAGATCCATATTCAAGACCTAAATAAGTTTGAAATGGAAAATCAAATTCTGCCCGCAATACTTAGGTCATTGAAAACTCGGACCTTATTGTCTTGAATTGACGGTTTTGTAATCTTTGAGCCATTCTTGATGTTCTCAACTAGCACTGAAATGGAGAGAAAATCACTTCCAGCTATTCGCGTTTGTTTGGAGTCAATTTCCTTAGTGCTTACCACTTATATCAGTGCCGTCGGGGAAGGGTAAAGCTCTAAAAATGATTTCGTACATAATTACGCCAAGTCCGTAAATGTCGCCAAGCTGTCGACGTCCCTGCAAAAATATTTTACACTACGAGTTGCGTTTCGCCATAAATTCGAAAGCTGAGAAAATCTTCTCAAAAGCGGACGCAGTGTCAATTGAAGCAATCACCGCTTCCTTCTGTGTAAATTTTGTATAACCAACCAATTTACTGGATTTTATAGCCGCGATGCCAAGATGTTTGAAAAAAACTAATATAACCTGTGTCTGTTTTGACCAGTCCTGATCCATTCGACGACCTCGATTCTTCTCTCGATTTTTCAACAGTTCAGGAGCTTCATAAAGTGCGCCTGAATAAGTAATTTATGGCTTGCATAAGTTTATAAATTGTGAGGACAAATTTTGTTTAGCCCACGTTTACGGGTACCATTTTTGCGAATATTTCTTATCAAATAATTTATGAATTAGCTTGCTTAAAGTAAAGGGTTCTTAAGATAATTTCTCGAAAATGCTTGTCAGAGAAGGAGTTTCCAAAATTTGGGAAGCGGAACTAGCTTTACATCTGCTCCTTTGACGGCACCGTCTACGATATTTGAACGTGATGAGATTTTGATGTTATACGATGGAGGGGCCCCCTTGCTGCAGTCAACCAAGTCTCGCTGCAAGAAGTGACTTATAAGACCTCGGGCAGGGTTCACGCGATTTGATCGTCGGGATTCAATCGCTACAAGAGAAGTGCTACAAGTTCATTGCATGCCGATCTTCTTGTGTTTCGGTTGTGATAGTTATCACGATTAGTCATGTTGTAAAACTATCTTAGGCCCCGGACAGAGTTCACGCGATTTGATCGTCGCGACTCAATCGCCGACATTTCCATTCATTTTCATTTCACATTCAAAAATTTCAGGCTGGAAAAGTATCACAACCGAAATGCAATTTGATCGGCATGAAATGATGTTGTAACAGTTGTCTCGTCGCGATTCAGTCCCGACGATCAAATCGCGTGAAATCTGTCCGGGGCCTTATAGAGTCACAAGAAGATCGGCATGCAATGAACTCGCAAACTTGTCTTTAGCGATTGAATCGCGACGACCAAATACGTGAGCTCTGTCCGAGGCCTAAAGCAATATACCCTATTTTGCGGTTTATAAGCCGCATCTTATATAAGCCGCACCCGCCGCAGCGAACAATGGCGCGAAAGAGCCTTCGAAAAGAAAGTTTTGATCTAACAAACTGAAAACTCACTACATTTTGCGACTGCTTTTCATTGCGCATGTTCACGTTTTCAGATATTTCTTTATTCTTTCCAGAGATTCGGACGATTTTGGGGTGTCTGGGTTGTGTTTTTTCCTCAGGGATACAATGGAGTTGACCGTGCTCTCTTTGGCAGGCGCTATACTCCTCGAGGATCGATATGCATCAAATACGTGTAAAACCGGCGGATTTGTCGCCGATATTGGCGATCGCCAGTCGCCAGTGTTGGCGACTACACATTAAATGTGTATTGTGGACGTGTGGTAACTTGTTAGCGATCGATACGCATAGAAGACGCAGTCGCCAGTATTGGCGACTGGCGATCGCCCGTCGCCATCCTATACAGTCTGCCCCATCGCGATCAGGCCGAACCCTCGGCTGAATTTGCGCGCTCGCAGCACTGGGGGTTTGCGCTGCATACGCGCGCTGTCGCAGAGAGCGAAGAGATTGAGGAGAGAGCAGACTAGCTAGACGCAGGAGTGGCGCGAAACCCTTGCGACGCGCACTCCCGCCAAGCCAATTTTGGCCTGGTTAGGATTGGGGCAAACTGTACTACTCGAGGAGTATAGCGCCTGCCTTTTGTTTTTAAAGATGTTACTGAGGTTAAAGCTGCTGCTACTTTATTCGGTTTTAATGATTGTTGATGATGATGTTGATGTTTCAATGGTGCTTTCAATGCTTCTACAAGAAAGAGCGAAAGCAGTAAGTTACAATCAGACTACTATTTAAAATAGGTGGTAGTTGGCTGCTTGCGCGGCTTCGCATATCGCGCCCATCATCTCGCATCAGCCCGCGCGCGACGAAAATAATTGCGGCTTATACGCCGGAAAATAGGGTAATCGCTCCAGAAGATACAAGGGCTACGGCTCCGCCCATCAATGTGGGTGGTCTAAAGATAAAAACTCGAATTTAATGTGGAAAAAAGAAGGTTGCAAATTTGGCTATCATGATAAAAGGCGGTTCTAAGACAATTTCGGGTACATTAAAGCCCAAGTTTGGACCTATTATCTACTGACCACCCAAAGTAATGGGCGGAGCCACCTTTGCCGCTTCTACATTCTGAAACGGTTTTCTCGCGTTGGATTTCGTATTTTGCAGCGAGACTTGAGCGATTGCTTAGTTAGGGGCCCCGCTATTAAGCAGCTTCAAAACCTTTTGAACCCTAAATTTGGGTGCTGGGTACCTTCAACATAAATTTCTGCTGAACTTCCACACCTTCCTTCTTTCTCCGCGACCTTTACTAGTAAGACTGATTGATAGGTTAGCAGCCCGTCTACTTGATTACGAGTTTGTTTCACAGTATTCCCCATTTGCTCTACCGTAATCCCTCTCCAAGTACTAAAGTTTCAGTGGTCCTCATTGTCAAACATACAACAATCATTCGACCCACTGGTTGCTTGAGTGGCTTGAGTCTTATCGTCATCTCCTTTCAGTGCATCCACGGATATCGCTTGTTCATTCTCCCAGCGCTCTACAGCGTCCGCAATTCCTAGAAAAAATGATATTGAAAAAATCACACATTCATACAGAAGACCTACCATAATCAGTCAGCTTGATCATCCAACTTCGGTCAATCAAGCAGGACCACGTTGATAAAGCTCCATGATAGCCAATGGAAGCGTGAAGATACTCAAGGCCGTTCAAAATATCACGAATAAATGCTCCATGGAATTTTTGATCCAGAGCAATGTTATCGTTGTAAATGATATCCTGCAGCGATCCTCTAAAAATTATTCTTTTGTTTAAACCCCTAACCTTTTCTGACTTCAATAGTGAAGGACTTTCTTTGAAAAGCCTCAGCTCACCTTGAACAAAATTTCCAAACTATGAGTACTTCCTCTTTTTCGTTGAAGCAGATGCCCAAGAATGGGTTAGTATTGTCGTGTACAGCTTGCTTCATCTAGAAATCAATGCGATTGCGTATTAGAAAAAAAATGGTCCTTGGCTGCAGCACATTTGAGTTTGAGCACAAAACGCAGCGTATTTTGTTAGCGTTTATTTTTCTAATCAGAAAATTGCTTCTAAATCACTTTGCTCTTGGTTTGGTAGCTTTCGCTTGTGGCAACGAAGATCATAATCATCAAAGAGAGAAGCTGCATAAAAAGGAGGGAAAATGAAAGTTTTGTGGCTATAAGTGGTCCACTTTTAAGTTAGGAGGAATCCGTGAGGGTGTTAATTGTGGGGCGGAATAAGCCACAATTTTCGGTTTCGTCTTTCGTTTACCAGAGCTTATCCGAAGCGTTGCTTCCGAAAAAACACTTCGAAGAGGGTTGAATAAGCGTGCTTTTCCTGAAGCAGTTAGTCTGATCATGGACGACCTAACACAGAAGAAATCGCTTAGGCTACAGAAGCTGGTCGTTGTGGGTCCCTAAGTAGACCATGGCGATGTTGGCGCTTCTCAGACATTTGCCGTTGTCACCCGCAGGTGGACCGCCCACAAAATGGCTGATCGCACCAAAACCCGGTGCACCGGCGGGAGACAAGAATTTAGTTTTGACCGGATTTTACTGCGATTTTGCCCCGATGCACGCCGCATGCGTGTATGATAGTGATGTTGCGAAATAGTCGCCTTCTCTTGGTGTTTGCTTTTTGTTGATTGGTGCCTTTCGATGTTTTTGCTTTCACTCTTTCTTATACATCGCTCATAATCGCTCTCTGAGATCATTTGTCCAGACCCACTCTATCTTAATCATACTTAATGATGCCTTTTGATTCAATTTCGCTTACTATTTTTCCTCAATTTTACCAGCACATATTACAATAAAAGTGAGGTCGCCATTTCCGTAGGACATTTTGACGGTTTGTCAGTTCAGATGAGATCGCGCGTCCAAAATGGCAACTTCACTTACAATCTCTGCGCTCGCGTTGTAGATCGAAGGTAAGCATGTTATTCTCAATTCATTAGGTTACTTCAGGACTCCTTCCAACTCAGCAAATTTGCGGAGTGCAATTTTTTGACCTTAGACTCAAATTGTTAGCCACAAGCCTGATAGTCTAAGTTTCAAGCCAACAAGCTTTAAACAAACTTGAAATTTCGTAATCTTGTGTCGGGTTCAAGAAACCATTGAGGCGTCGCTAGCTAGCTAAAAGCTGTCAAAACATGTAACTTATACTATCCATTACTTATTGTGGGTAGCTTCAAGCTGACACGTACAGAACAAATATTTGCGAAAACGTCATTTTACGAGAAAATCCTTATGACAAAATACTTTTCCAGCAAAAAAAACAGTTTAGCGCCCGAAGTATTGTCATAGTTCGAAAAATGTGTTTTTATAAGAAAATTTTTCCTGCAGAATGGGCTTTTCCATAACTTGTTTCCGCAGTTTCACAGAAATAAGACCGGCTGCAGCCGTATATGGACTGCTGCTGTGTAAAAAAATTTTACTTAAATTTATTTTCACGCAGGAAACAAAGAACTAAATTTAGGTGTAAAATGCACGTTTGGTACCCCATCAGATCTTTGAATTCCCGATTGCAAAGCCATAGCTGGTTAAATGACCAGCTATGGCTCTGGCTTCCGGCCTTGATAAAAGAATTTATTCTCTTCAGAGAAATTTCCACAACGCATGCAATGGTTTTTTGCGGAGTTTCGTCCGTCTTTCTCTCGCTCTTAGGTCACTTTTTGGCAAGTCTAGTGGTCCGTACTTGGAAGAGGGGCCTTTTTTCTCGCAGATAGACCAGAAAGAGAATTCGTGGGGTCAAGAATGGGCGAGTTAGAAGGCGAAATACTGCTTGTTCAAATATGGCTCACATGAAGTTTGATGGGCTGCCAAAAATCCATTCTTTGCTCTATTTTATAAATGTTTCGATGACAGTCGTCATCTCCATATTCTTTTGTTCCATTGTGGTCCTTTCTGACTTCGTTCCTTATGTAAAAGTGATCTAGCTCAAATTTTTATTGACCAGTCGCTGTAGCCCGAAAATCGCAATTTCTCGAAATTAACGAGTATCAGAAGCTGTTTGAATTTTGGCATGATGAGGCAGCAATCCACGCCGAAAAGAAGAAATCGCAATTGTCAAAATCCATCTTTCAAACACGGAAAAAATGATATTCGGCCTTCTAACTCGCTCAATCATAGTCCCACAATTGCTCTTGTCTATCTAACCGAAAAAAGAAAGTCTGCTCTCTAAAACTCAGCCCGATTGAGGTTTTTGAATATGAAATGAATGAACGAAAGGCATCTTATTTTTGGGAGCTGAATTTGACTGAAGTCTTAGAAAAATGGAAGAGATCGGCTTGCGCCCATAAACATGATCATTTTCTGCATTTTCATCATGTTTCTGATTTTCTTAGGCACTATTTCGTCAATGCAAGCTCACTGCTGAAGGAAATCTTGCCTTACACATAATTATTTGGGCTTGTGAACCGGCAGAGGAATTCAAAAGTATGCATGTAGGCAAACTGGCAAAAAAGGAAAAGATGACAACCTCAAGCATCTCCCGGAATGCACTGTGGATTTACTAATAAGTAGGTTGCTTCCGTCATTTTGTACATCAATTCGAATAATTTATTCAGGATTTGTATTGGACGCTTTTGGCCTACCGGACAAAGAACTTCTACAGTCTGCATAAGAATACGACAAAGGCGTCAAAGGTAAAACTTTCGTCCCAAAAAGTTTACGCATCTGATGCTGATGTTTTTCAGAAGAACCGCCCCAGGACATCTAACGTGAGCACTGACTTGAACATCATCAAAAAAACGGACGCCGATATTGCAGTAACGGATGCGAACGACACACATTAGTCCAATTCCAGTTGTTTTTTGTCAAGTGTTCTCTCGATGTAGTTTATTTAATTTTGCGCTGATGTAGATTTTTCTGTACCATGAAGTGGTTAATAAATACTATAGCTTGATTTGTTAGTGACAGTGAAAGAAGACAGCACGGTAGAAGTAAAACACACAAGTATAGAGTATATACTCTATACTTGTGTGTTCCACTATATATATCTTATATATAAAGCTGAATGTCTGTTTGTATGTATGTATGTCTGTCTGTATGTGTGTACGTATGTTCCGAATAGAAAATTCCATTTCTGAACCGATCGGGACCAAACTTGGCACACATACACTTCGGGCCCCGGCGGGTGTCATAGGCTACTTTTCGTATCGATTGATATCGATTTTATCGATTTTTGCAAAATTTGAGCTAGGAGGCTGGGATTTGGCACAGGGGGGTAAGTGAGCATGGGGATTCCGAATACAATATTAGTTTTTAAAATCGTGCATTACTTTTATCGATTTTATCGATTTTTTTGCAAAATTTGAGCTACGGGGCTGGGATTTGGCACGGGGGGGGGGGGTAATCGAGCATGCTGATCACTCCCGTGGGGGTGATCAGCATGCTCGGTTACACCCCCCTGCCAAATTCCAGCCCCCTAGCTCAAATTTTGCAAAAATCGATAAAATCGATAAAAGTAATGCACGGTTTCGAAAACTAATATTGTATTCGTAATCAGCATGCTCGATTACCCCCCTGTGCCAAATCCCAGCCTCCTAGCTCAAATTTTGCAAAAATCGATAAAATCGATATCAATCGATAACGAAAAGTGGACTGTGACACCCGCCGGGGCCCGAAGTGTATGTGTGCCAAGTTTGGTCCCGATCGGTTAAGAAATGGAATTTTCTATTCGGAACATACGGCGGAGCCGGGTAAGCCAGCTAGTACTTACTATATATATACTTATATATATACTTTATATACATACATATGAATTATATATACTAATATAATATATATATGCCACAATATATTTACCTACGAGGGTGAACTACTGCTTCAAGGATCGGGGCGTTATGGTGTCTCCCGCAGGTCACTCCGATAATGACCGGAGAATGCCCTGTCGGGCATTATGGTGTCTCCCGCAGGTCACCCCGCTGCAAACACAGGTGACCTGATTTTGCCCCGACACCGATTTCGTGTGACGCGCCGTTGGTCAATGAGATCACATCATTTTAACCTACGGGTGACAACCGCGAATGTCTGAGTTCGGCATATAGAACAGCAGCGACACCGTTACACAACCGTATCCACCAGCCATCCGGTATTACTTGTCTGAACGACGCGCAGCTGCAAATTCTTCTCCCATTCCATTTGAAGGCAGTGTCTCACAGAATATGGGTTTCGGATTTTTTTTTGAGTTACAGCCTTTCCGATGTATAATCCTATACGGGCTGCTCAAATTCGTGCCAAAATCCCACAAACCCCTGTTTTCTGAAATCCCGTAGAAGTAACAGGAACGAGCTGTCCCTCCCACCCGACCTTAGCTTTGAGCAGAAATTGAACACCTCAAAAAGGATGGCGTCGCTTGGAAAGACGCGTTGACACGCTCTAGGGAAGTCAACAAGTCGTCCAGCACGTGCAAAAACCATTTTGACACGCCACTTGACGGCACCGTCCACCCACTTCCACGTTTTGGTCGTTTTTGGGGCCTCCTCATGTTCCTGATTCCGACTATCAAGTCGGGAACCCACGCAGGGCCCTGTTCATGCGATTTTCTCCTTCCCTGCATAATGTTTTCTTTTTGGTAATTTTTATTCCGACACTTACCGAACAAAGCAATTTTTTATCGGTACGGTTGAATGTTATTGGACGACGTTGTGGATACCTTAAATAGATAGGGCATTCTCAGTTCAGAGCAAAATACTAGGCTAGATGTTTTTAAAAAGCTGTACGAGAGCACAGTAAGCTTCCAAAACGACGCTTCTTCCAATGTCCCTTGAAAACTTACTTGTGATATATGGCATGAGTATTCGTCCCAACAATGGCATGATTTCTTGTGCCGTAGTTTGCGTTACTCATTTTTGTTCTCGTGCTGCCAAGTGACAGCTGTAACAATAAATTTTTTTCCTGAAAAATTTCTTTAGTAGAGTACCATGCTTTTCAGCTGTTCTTCGTCAATGAATTGCATTTCATCGCGATATATGCGGAAAGTTAGCTTGTCCAACGCCTTTTTCTGCCTGTAAAGATTCTATTTATACCGAATTTTCAAAATAATTTTAGAAAATTAAACTCACAAAAATTTATGTAGAAAATATGTTCCACACATAAAGAGCAGTACAGTAATCATCAAAGCACCGCCAACGATAAGCAAAGTAAAATCGCATCTTTCTCCACGGAAACCACATTCGGGCTCATCTTTTGGCATCCGCTTATCGGCCGATGGCCAAAATTCGCGCATCATGTCCGTGACTACCTGAAAAGATGGTGTTGGTTTGGATCCACTATGGATCCGAGTTGGATCCACCATGCAACACTTACAATTTCGTAGCAACCGGATTTGCTTCGTAGACCATCACAGTTAGGAATCATAGTTGGTTCCATATGGACCATCGACAGGACCTGAGTAGAATTATGTATAGGTTCTTGTGAAGTTCCTGCGGGCCTAATCACTAGGGGGTACGTCAGAGCAGGGTCCGAACAAACTCATAATCTTACAAAATTTTGTAATACTTACACTAATCTTGCGTTCAAAAGTAAACGTTCAAGATTGTCAAATATTGTCGAATATCTGCATGGACACTGCCCTCAGGCACGACTTAGCTGCTTATGATTATTTATGCGTAATTAAGCCATTACTTGGCAAGAACTCCGGTTAGCGAATACCAGTATGACTTCGTTTTGAGACGTTTCTCATGTGAACAGTCATCGTTCTTACATCATTTTTGAGCCTTGGATGAAAAGAATATCTGTGCTTAGAGCGCAGATGTTAAAAACTAGGAGCAGTGTTTGCCGTTTAATCCCTAAGCACCGCTTGGCTAGTGCTCGAATGGGTGGATGACAATGCTACTGGCTGATTCCATCAGCCATTGGCTCCCAAGGGCTGGCTAGTTGATCCAGCCTTTTCACGCAAAAAAAATCAAATGAGATCTTTGCCATTTTATGATTTCAGAATGATCACGTTCAGATAAAAAAAGCGGTGAGCTCAGTGAAACCCTGCACAACTTTTTCGAAGCATTTTCTATTACATAGATATTATTTGTATAGGGCTTCGAAAAATCGTGACGATGGCGCCACCGCGCGCGACACGCGCACACCTTCTGGCAACTACATTTTCTTGGTTTTAATCTCTACTCGACAAATTTTTCTGCTTAGGTATGATAGTATTTGGACACTAGAAGTCACCAAGCTGAGCTTGAGATGATGCCTTTTTGCATGAGGGTATTATGCTCCTGCGGGTGCAAAGATCGCAGCTGAATCCGTCGTAACGATATTATAAATGAACCTCAAAGTCTACGTTTATATTCGCTAACTTCCTTAGGCCTATTTTTTACTCTTTCGAACTTCAGAAATCCAGCTTTGAGGATGCAAATTATTACCCAAGGCAGCATTTTCATTAGGCTCAAAAAAAGTGTCGTTGGAAAAATTTGGCATCGAAATACTAGGAACCTTTGTGCGAATTATTTTGGGAAACAACTTGTTGCTGGAGGTTTTCATCACACAAGGAGTTCTAATCTTGGTGTGATGCCTCATTTGGTAGCTCACTGAACCTTAGAATCGACCTGGTCAGAATTTGGTGACACGAAGAATCCTCTGTAAAGTGGTGCTCGTTCAGCTATGTCATCCATGGTAACGATCCCAGATGCTACCCCGGAAGATGCGAGCATTCCTGAAAAAAGTCTTTGGTCTTAACGGAACTTTAAGATATTTCCTTTACCGTCAAATTTCATTCTTCGCATTGCATTCCACATTAGTCTTCCATTCAGGAGATTTTTTGAGTCTCCAGTCTCGTTCATGACTTTCTTTGCTGTCAAGGCATATAGTTTCACAGCGTCGAAAAGGTATAAATATCCGTAGATGTTCGCCTGCAAGCGATATTTGAAACTCAACCGCTCTTTTCATTTGGCCCACTCACAAGGTCTACGTCTGCTTCTGTTAGGCCAGCAACCTTTATTCGCTCCAAAAAGGGTCCAATTATTGAGTTGTCGAAACTATTCACGTCGTCTATCTGGAACAAAAGATTATTACAGGTTTCTTCCTCTCATTTGGGAGATTTCGAACAAGGCTCGCGATGTTTGATTGTGATTTGCTGCACCGTCCGGAACTCTTTGGACACGGGCTTCTATGGAGCTTAGAATAATTCCTTTGAAAGCATCTACATTTTAAATCATTTCATTTTACTAGCTGGCATAGGCCCGTCCGTCCCTGTCCTAAGACAATTCACCGGAACTTCCGCAGGACAAGCAGAATCTGCTGATGTTCCACAGCCCTATCTTATCCAATGAGAAAGTTCACGCTCCAAAATGCGGGGTTCCCGCAGGAAATTAACGTCAGAGGGATTGGAAATCGGAACTTCCGCAGCACTTCAAAGCGCTGCAGAAACGCTTATGCAACTCACAATAATGGAATTGGCATACTGATCCTTGACCTTTTGTAAAATTGCTCCGTCAGGTCCAATCCAAGGGGAAACATCTTTTGCTCCATCCTTAAAGGTATAAAGTTATTTCTGTATTTCCAAAAATTTCTGGCCAATGCGAGCTAAATGAAAACTGGCCTTTTAAGTGGTTTTATTTTGAAAGAGCAATTGCTTTTTTACTTCTACACAACAGCCTGTTAACGTACGTACCTGCAACCATGGAAGGATGTAGGCAAATTCATTCACGCTCATTCCTTGAGAATTTGCAGCCGTCAAAAATTCTCTCGATGATTCGCGAGTATTCGAAAAAAGGCAGATGATGACTAAATCACAGTAATTAGGGCCATTTACGAAAAATTGCTCCTTGGTTTATTATTGGACACTGTTTCTGCTTACTTCGTGGTGTATGCTTAACATTTATAAGACCTTCACTGACTATTGATAATATTTGAGTAAGGTTATATTCCTATCCTTTTCATTGGATAGAAGCAGTGAGACAAAACAGGACCAATTTTTTTTCTTTTTATTCTGTCGTAGTTGAATAATAATCATTTTCTAGCTCAACAGAGCTTGTAAAAATGTAGCATAAAATTCGTACTTCTAGCAGAACTTTTGAGTTCGTGAAGAAATCCTGTATTGATCATCGCTTTCGAATCAGAAAATTCGTCGAAGATAATCTGTAAGCATGGATTAAGGATGTCTTTGCCGTTGTTGTGGTAACAAAAAGCGCCAAGTCTCTCTTCCGCACCTTTTTAGTCACAGTGATATTTTTCGCATGAAAAACCGCCTCGAAAGCGACAGAACGATCGTAAGCCACAGTTCCTGTATTAGTCACAATGGCCACCTACAAAAGAGATTTATAATTTGATTTGCTTTCCAGAAAGAGCATCAATTTTGACGATGCCTAGACAAATCCAGATATTCGCGTTTTCTTCCTCATGTGGAAAGTTGTTGAGAGGATTGAGCTCTTGTATGAGTCGCAGCTCATATGATTCGCTCGTGGGAGAGATATTTGAATCTAAATTCGCGCCCAGTACCGTACCCCTCTCCATCAGCGTCCTTGGATACGGTATTGGACGAGGGTCTAAAGCTGAACATCTCGTTTGCTCATGAATCATATGACCTGTCGCTTGGGCAGTAACTTATTCAAGGCCTCTCAGTCAATTCCATTAACACGTTGACAACCGTGTGCATACACGCGTATGCACTCCCTGACTCCAGTTTAGTACTTTCTTGCATAAGTTTTCCATGTGTAAACAAAAGTCTAGGGTAACTTCTATGCAGTAATAATGCTGTTGGTCTAATTGTCATGTACAACATAGGGCGTCGCGGTAGCGGCTTAGAAATCTAAACTGCAGATTAAGATATTCGGTCCAATTTGATGTGGTCCAAAATGGCACGGTTCAACGTTTTAAGGGGATTCAGACTCCCGAATTTGTTCTGAACACTGCCTTTAAACTAACCTTTTTCCATCCATAATGTCTTAACAAAGCAGCTGTAGCCTCGGCTATCGAATTTGTTGTTCTTAGCTAAAACAACCGCTTCAATGAACCATCTAGGGAATGATACTAGAGACATACCGAAACTCGAGCCAGGGTGGGATAAGCTTTTTTGTCTGAGAGTGAGTTTGCTGCTGCCATGTAACCAATTACGGGAACATTCCAAAATGCAGCCATTCGTGCCACGGCGTCCATCTCTGTGTAAAAAATGTCCGTTAGGCAAAAATAATTAGCAACATGGCATTTACCCGCTCCACAATAGGGTCCGATAAAAACCTTGACTTTTTGAAGATGGTACATATCAGCTGCTACAGCCACACCTTCATAAGATTCGCCGCAACCATTTTGTGAGATGAATCTAAATTTTTTAATAAGAGCCTCAGACAAGAGTAAAATGATCTGCAAACGAACTCCAAGTCAAATTCATCGTCCAGTATCTTTTCACTGATTAGCGATTTACGTGAAATATTGAGAATCACGTCATCGTTTCGCAAGGCTCCCAGTGCTCCAATATGACCAACTTTTATCCGCATTTTTCCTGGAACAGCTTCAATGATTTCAGAATAGGTTGGTTAGACGTTTTGTAGGTTTGAGGGGTCCTGTTCCTCAAAAATTTCAACATACTATCGGAGGATAGTCTGCGATCAGTTCCTTCAACAGTCGCATCAAGATGCGACCTTCGGTCTAAAGTTCATTCTGTACTTTAGTGAATTTTTGATTACAAAAAATGGGATTCCCTTTGGAGTCAATTATTTTTATTTCTTCCACGGTAATCCTGTTTCACGGTGTCCTATGAAGGGCATTTCGGATTATCATATCCATAACCTATTATTCTATTTTATTGTCCTCTAAACTATACCTCTGTCATCGTAAAGAGAGGAGGTGTCATCGGCATTTCCTGCATACTGGGTTAATCCATCCTGCCTTGGTTCAGCCTTATCACCAGAAACCGTCGCAACATCAAAAGTTACCATAAATACGTAGAACAAAGCGATTATATCAATCATCTTATCCCGATGTTTTTTCGGTTTCTGATTCACCCCTGAAAAATTTGTGTGTGGCAGGCGCAGTAATATAGCACGATATACGAAAAATTGCGTATATCTTAACAGTTCGGAATAGGCATCGACGCAGACAGCGCGTATGCGTATGCGCGCCATTAGCTCTCTGCGTATCTCACTTGCACGTGCTCTCTATGCAATGAGCGTCAGCTCAAAATCGCGCATTGCGGCGCCGCAGCTCGTGCATTCTCTGCGGCTCTACTTATCTTTATCAATGTGAAGAGGGATGAATAAATTGCAGTAGATTTTAGCGTATTATAGCGTATAGTATTTTATAGAAGTAAGCCGCGAGATGCTACAACCTCAACCAAAAGCACGTCATTCAGTAAGAGTACTTGTAATCTATATATATGTATGAAATTCAAGGTCTGTGAGGATGTTCGTTAGGTTGTTAGTGCTTTATAAAAACGCCAGCCGTTGAACCGATTGAGCTGAAACCTTGCACACGTATGTTTTCGACCCCGGCGATGGTTTAGGGCTACGTTTCGTGGCAATTCACTGCGCCCTTTTATCGATTTATTGATTTATTTACTCAACCAGAAGAAGGAAAGCTTGCTCCAACCGATCATTTTTCCATAATCATGTAAGCAGGGGCGGCAGAGTCCATTTCTATCTCAAAGTCGGGAAAATGCGGCAAGTCGTCTCAAAGCGCTTTTTGCGCATGCTTGAAGAAGTTAGAAGCGTAAATCTACACGTTTTGTTAGCTAAACTAATGGAGCCTCGGATGAGGCAAGGGCTATCAGTCTGTTACACTCGGGAGAGCTCATATCGATTTCTTAGTCTTTAAATGTGATTAATGCTAAAGTGGTGTCAACTAGAAATTTGAATAGCAAAAAAAGAAAATTTGAGCGGGTTGTCTCATTGCATCAGAGAGTTCGATGATGCAGTTGAATAAGATGTTCAAAACGATCCCATTCGAAAGGCATTTCAACACATTCCAACAGAACCTCAGTATGGAACTTTCCTGCCTACTTGGAGCCATACGTCCCAGTGATTCCAAAAATCCAGCTAGGAGCGCGATAAAACGAAAAAGGGCTTTTTCCGGAGCCCTGAAGGCACTATCCGTCCAAACCCGGAAGAAGGAGATTTTAATTATGATTTTTTTCATTATTTTTATTCTTCGTTTATACGATAGCACGGCCCCTAACTAAGCAATCGCCCAAACCTCGCTGCAAAAGATGGATTCCAAAGCAAGATAACCGCTCCAGAAGGTAGAGGGGTCAAGCTGGCTCCTCCCATCAACATGGATCTGAAGAATAAGTCCAAACTAGGCTGCAATGTATGGAGAACTTCGTAGATCCCCTGTTCAACATGACCCCTCCAATTTGCGGCTTTCTGTCTACACTGGAGACCAGTTTGGGACTTGGTATCGTGATGGAACGAACTCCGCCAGTTTGAGCCGCCTTCGCCTGCAAATGGTCTTTCTGCAATGTTGTTGCATGTCACTGTAGGACCAGTAGTCCGCTGAGGCTGCCCAAAATGGCGGAGTTCGTTCCTTACGTCTTTAGACCACCCACGCTGAGGACGAGGCCAGACTTTTGAAGCGAATTCTATTGCAGCCCCGTTTTTTTGCTTCGAACTTTAGTTAGCTTAGGGGCGCCACTATCATAACAAAAACCCGAACCCCCCCCCACCCCAGTTTGCCGAGACGCTGCCTCTTCTTCAAGCATATGTATAAGTCGTGGTCACCTGCTATCATGTGATTATGCTAAGGGCCCTTTATCCGGATAGAGCATATACAGACTCCGCGCTTAACATATTTCAGAGATCATTCATAACACAGCATGACAAATTAATATTGAGAGTAATTTGCGCTTTGTGCCCACGTAATTAACTGAAGTTGTCACTTTTCCTACATTTTCAAAAGTTTTTGCGAAGGGTTGACTATGGTAGGTAATATGGTTTTGCAAAACCAACATGTATACTGACTCAAATATTATTTCAAAAAATATGAGCAATGTTGCACTACATGGTTCATCACAAAATAGACAAACGCACAAAGCGAATATTCCACTGTGGGCTGGGGAAACAAAGTGCTAAATCTGTCTGGTACGCCAAACGTTCCTATTTGTTTTAATAAACAAGGCATGCGAAGGTTTTTTTAAATTACTTTAGTTTTAGCTTTCGACCATTGTAAATTTATTTGCCAGTTTTTATTCATGTTCAAAGAAGCTCTCTGTCGCCTTAAAGCAAGTCTTTGAAGATCCTGGAAATTTTGAGACTGATATTTGTGTCGTTTACGTTTTTAACTTTTTGTTGCATATTTATTGTTAGAATAACAATAAACAAGCATTAAGCAGTAACTATGCAGAACTTCTTCCTCTTAGCTAGCTAGGTTCCCGATACGACTCTTCCAAACGCTGGACACCCGCCAAAGATTTTTTTTCACTTTTAAAGTCTAACTTTTGTTACTTTTTGGAATTCTCATTAAAACTTATGAAGGTGCCTTGACAGCCAGTGAAAAGTTTCTTCTGCAAACTGATGCAATTGTTGAAATATTTTTGGCTTGTTACCTTGAATTTTTAAAACATGTTTTTGAAGCGAACAACTCTTGAATTCCGTCAATTCTAGGCTGGTAAAATATGAGGTGGTAAACAGTTCAGGTAGCACTCGATTCGGGAGACGCTCGTAAGGCGCGCATTGATCGGTTTTTACTAACTGGGAGAAGCAAGAAATAAGTTCAGATTTATTTTAATGCTATCGGATTTCAACTGGTTATCCTTTTTTATACTTTCTGATGTACTGACAAAAATCTCGACATCTGGAAACCTTGCTTTTGCAGAGAACTGACCCAGTCTGGCAATGAAGGCTTAGAGAACGCGCGTCTTTCGACATACACCCCTCGATTCCACTTTTTTTACCCTTTTCTTACAGTTCGTTTCTTTGCAATACATGAGAGACTTTGCACATAGTCGCCGCATTTCAACTTCATAAGCGCGCATTAGTTTACCCAAATTTTCATATTCTCCACAAAAAGTAGCGGTAATCGCTCATTTACTTTGCCAGCTTAATGACAATAGATTGAGAAATCCTGAAATTCTAAAAGAACCTCCAATGTTTGTTGCTTTTATGTGTTATATGATTGTCAGAACTAATGCTTTGAAAAATCATTAAGGGAATGGTCAAAAGTCAATCTGAGTGTTACTGACGAGCTGCATATCAATGGATACAGCACAGAACCCTTTTTCCGAACCTATCTTTTTTATATACTGAGGGTTATAAGCGTACACGAATTCAGAAGCCATCCTGTTGTTAATTGTATATGCAAAATGCACGTTCGGACATAGAGAAGGGCTTAATGTTGGGTCAAAACATGCAGGTAAGTTGCTTTCCAGAGATCATAAGTACCTAAACGTGAGTTCAAAAGTCTCTAAAGTATCTAAAATCGCCGTTCTATGTGCGGTTTTCTCCAATAGAACTACTCACAATTTGTCCACCGATACTACATCGGTACATGCAGCTTGTTTGAAATGGCCACTTCGAGTTTTGGTAATTTTTTGGGAAAATTCTGGAAATTCACTTGGAGAAAAATAAAAAATTGCTTAGATTTGCGAAAAGTTTGTCCTGTCTGGTGATTAAGATTTTACAGAGTTTCGTTTGCATTGAATGTCTGTACAAACAAGGTGAAAGGAGGGTTGTAAACGTTTGTGATTCTCAGTGCTTATTGGAAGAAACACAACGAGCGCACATATTTTGAAAAGTAAGAAATTCTGCATAGAATACAGTCAAAAGTACTTGTTTATCTTTACTCTAGGTGATGATTTGAGGGCAGATTGAAAAACGGAAAGAACTTCTGCGCCGACCTAATATTCAGTGAGAAATTGAGAAACTAAAAAGGTAAATCCTTTTTTCCCGTATGTGGCGCGTAGAATTTTGATATAGTGCTTGAGACAACGTAATGTCACTGGAGAGAAGTGGATCCCTAAATGTTACAAACTATGAGAAATGTAAAAAACCTGCAAAGCAGCAGAGCAGAATGTGTGGCAAATCAGAAACTCTGTAACCGAGCATCAAATCCCTCCCTAGCCGAATTCATTTAACTGAGTGTCCACGTAACAGATAGCCGCCTTAGTCGCGATGATCTCCTGATAAGGCACGGTACGGTAAGTAATCAGCCAAGAGGAATGTGTAGGAATGTGTGTTAGGAAATTATGATTAAGTGTTGGATATTTTGCAAACAAGCAGATTGAGCAGATAGTGGCAAGTAGTGATTAATTTACTAGAGTGTTGTTTCTCATCTTATCTTTATCCTAGGTTCATGAAAGCTTTCTACTTTGAGCGCTTGCGATTACTACATAAACTACTACTTCAATAACAGGGAAGTTAAGAAGCTTGACAAACTGGTTAACGGCATTTCCTTCTTCTGCATGCATTTGAACATCCGCGTTGCGAAACCCCTACGGCGCGTCAGGCTTGTGCCAGCTTTACCGCTGCACATGTGGTACAAAACATACCTTAATCAACACATAGACGACGACGCCCAAATTGCGTGGCGGTGCTGTGGGACGACGCGATTCTGCACAAGATTCGCTGTGTGTACGTTTTGTGATTATTTCCGAAATGCGAGGTTGTTTTGCAAACAATTATAAACATTTTTTAAGTGACGGATCCTACAGGTCCCAAGAGTGCAGAAATTGTATATTATGTATACAATATATAAATTGTATATTATTATGTGGAAAAAATAGTAGGTTTACAAATGATATGACTTGCAAGAGGTGTGGGCCACCGGTGGTCCACATCGTCGGCCATGGGTTAACAAATGGTATATTACTCTCCTTTACTTCTCAAACTATTTGCCTTCAAATATATCGGATTCGTGCAAGATTCCGTCAGTCCGTCCGCAGCTTAAGCTATCAAATTATATAAGTACAGAATTACACGAGTGGGATATCATTTGTCAGAATGAAACAAGCTCTACAGACTGACTATCAGAATCTACCTAA